GAGGTCCCCTGGGAGGGGGCCATCCTGCCCTCCTGGCCCCCAGGTCCCCTCCCCAGAGAAAGGAGGCCAGGTGCTGAGGCCCCGTCCCAGCGGCCCTCTGCAAACCTGAGTGTCCACTGGCTGGACACCTTCCCCTTCAGAGGGAGAACCCATCACACCTGTGTGTGAACACGTGGGAATCTACCCGCCTGACCACAGCCACAGGCCAGGAGCTATTGCTTGGTGGGTCTGTTCCTTCCTTCCTTCCTTCCTTCCTTCCTTCCTATCTCTCTCTCCTTTTTATTTCTCTCCTTCCTTTCTTTGTTCCTTCCTTTCTTCCTTTCCTTTCTCTTTCTCTCCCTTCCTTCCTCCCTCTCTTCCTTTCTCCCTTTCTTCCTGTCTCTTTCTTTTTTCCCTACCTCCCTCTCTTTCCTTCTTTCTTTTCTTTCTCTCTCTCTCCCCACCTTCTTTCTCTTTCTTTCGACAGGGTCTTGTTCTGTCACCCAGGCTGGAGTGCATTGTTGTAATCATAGCTCACCGCAGCCTTGAACTCCTGGGCTCAAGCAATCCTCCCACCTCAGCCTCCTGAGTAGCTGGGACTACAGATGTATGCAGCCTCCTCCAGCTCTCATTTGGTTTTCTTATACCTCAAGATGTTATTTAAGCCCGGATCTCTATGGAACAAAAGAGTGAAAAAAGAGCAGAGAGCGCACTGCTGTCATCAAACTGACAGCCAAGTGGGTAGGCAGAAATTGAACAAGAAAACAAACACAAATTGAATATGGCATGGGTGGAATGATAAGACAGGGATTCTTAAGGTGTTTGAGATGTGATTCCTAGACCAGCAACATGAGTATCCTCTCCTGAGGCGGCAGGATTGCCTGAGCCCAAGAGTTTGAGATCAGCCTGGGCAACATAGCAAGACCCTATCTCTACAAAAAATAATTTAAAAAGTCAGCTATGGTGGTGCATGCCTGTAGCCCCAGCTACTCAGGAGACTGAGGCTGGAGGATCACTTGAGCCCAGGAGGTTGAGGCTGCAGTGAGCTATAGTCACACCACTTCACTCCAGCCTGGGAACAGGGTAAGACCTTGTTTAAAAAAAAAAAGAAAAGAAAAGAAAGCGACTGGGCTCGGCGGCTCAGCCTGTAATCCCAGCACTTTGGGAGGCCGAGGTGAGTGGATTACCTGAGCCTGTGGGTTCAAGACCCACCCGGGCAACTTGGTGAGACCTCGTCTCTACAATAAATCAAAAGTTAGCTGGGCATGGTAGTGCGCACCAGTAGTTCCAGCTACTTGGAAGGCTGAGGTGGAAGGATCGCCGGAGCCCAGCAGGCTGAGGCTGCAGTGGCCAAGAGCGTGCCACTGCATTCCAATCTAGGCAACAGAGTGAGACTCCAACTCAAAAAAAAAGAAAGAAAGAAAGAAAAGAAAGAGAAAGGAAATTTTAATTAAATGGTGCATATAGTCCAGGATCACACCTGTAAGCCCAGCACTTTGGGAGGCAGAGACAAGAGGATTTCCTGAGCCCAGGGGTTCAAGACCAGCCTGGGCAACTTGGTGAGACCTCATCTCTACAATAAATTTTAAAAAACATTATCTGGGCATGATAGTGCACACCTGTGATTCCAGCTACTTGGAAGGCGAGGTGAGGTGGAAGGATCACCTGAGCCCAGCAGGTCGAGGCTGCGGTGGCTGTGAGCGTGCCACTGCACTCCAGCCTGGATGAGAGTGAGACTCTGACTCAAAAAAAAAAAAAGACAGAAATCAAGGAAGCAAAAAGACAACGCCAGCCCTCTGCATCTCACCACCACAGCCTCCCATTCAGAAAGAACCCTCGAGGTAGCCCTGCCTGCAGGGGGTGGGCGCACCCAGGCCTGGCTGTAGCTCTGGCCCCTTTTACCCCCTGCCTAGTGCCTTCCTCCGGATGCTCTTTCCTGAGAAGCTGGATGCAGACAAGAAGGGGCGCCCCACCACCGCCGGCTCCAAGATCAAGGTGAGCCTGGGGCAGGGCAGGGGAACTGGCGTGGGGAGTGAGGTCTCGCCCTGCGCAGTATCTGGACTCCATTCCTCTCTTCATCCCAGTGTCTGTGTACGCATCCCAGCCTCTGCCTCTGGCCGTGGCATCTGCGTTCCAGCTCTGGCTGTAGGAGGCTTGGACCAACTTCCTTGAGGTCCTCTCCACTCCTTTTTTTCGTTTCGTTTCTTTTCTTTTTTCTTTTTCTTTTTTTTTTTTTTTTTAGAGTTGGAGTCTCACTCTGTCGCCCAGACTGGAGTGCGGTGGCATACTCCCAGCCACCGCAGCCTCAACCTGCTGGGCTCCAGCGATCCTTACACCTCAGCCTTCCAAGTAGCCGGCACTACAGGCGTGCACTACCATGCCCAGCTAAATTTTTGGTTTATTGTAAAGATGAAGTTTTTGCCAAGTTGCCTGGGCTGGTCTCGAACCCGCGGGCTCAAGCAATCCACTCACCTCGGTCCCCCATAGTGTTGGGATTACAGGCTGAGCCACTGAGCCCAACCTTTTTTTTTTTTTTTTTTTTTTTAACATCGGGGTCTCACTCTGTCATACAGACTGCGGTGCAGTAGCATGATCCCGGCTCACCACAGCCTCAACTTCCTGGGCTCATGAAATCCTCCTGCCTCAGCCTCCTGAGCAGCTGGTACTACAGGCGTGTGCCACCACGCTCGGCTGATTTTTGAATTTGTTGTAAAGATGAGGTCTTGCTATGTTGCCCAGGCTGGTCTCTAACTCCTGGGCTCAAGCGATCCTCCCACCTTGTCCTCCCAAGGTGCTGGGATTACCCAGCCCCATTCTAATAAGATTTTAATAACTATTATTTGGCATTTACTCTGGGCTGGCAGCAAACATGAGACACTTCACATATATGAGAAACTAATTTAGTTCCACCAGGCAGAGGAGGAGACTGGAGCTCAGAGAGGGACGGTCACTCACCCAAGAACCACAGCAGAGCCTCAGTGAACGCTTGGTTCTCTTGTACTGCTATCCCCAGACCTCTCACCTAGAACAATTCTTTCTGGTCTCCCTCCTTCCCCTGGGTTACTAAAACGGACACTGGAAGCCTGGCCTCTCAGGCACACACACAATTCCACACTTCCAAAGTACCTGTCTCTCAGAAGCACCGGCAGAGCACTCCCAAAGGCTCTCCTGGGTACTCTGTTACTGAATCAACAAACATTTACTGAGCACTTCCTCCGCATCAAGCCCCTGGTCTTGGGTTCGAGGGTTCGGAAGACACCAACATCATTCCCACGTGGTGTGCGCTAGCAGAAGTGTGCACAGACCAGGGTCCCCTGTGGCCCATTGGGTGCTCCCACTCACCCCCAGTGTCTGTCTCAGGCTGGATCTGGGTGGGTGGAAGGGAGGGGCCAGAGGGCCCCGCTGGGTGACCCCTCCTACCCCTGCCTTCTCCTCAGAAACAAGCCAACGACCTGGTGGCCACCCTGAAGCGGTGCACACCCCACTACATCCGCTGCATCAAACCCAATGAAACCAAGAGGCCCCGGGATTGGGAGGAGAACAGGTGACACCCTCGATCCCAGACTGATGGTTACCATCCACCCCAGGGCTGGCTCTGCTGGCCCCTAGGACCGGCACAATGCCCCTCCGAGCCCTGGGCTCTGCCTAGACTGGCCAGGAACCCCCTCCTCGACCTCCAGGGTGACCTTAGGATAACCCAGAGACCCACACAGCTTCCCCCAATTCCTCAGACCCTACCTCCAAAACTTTCCCCAGCGATCCCTCCCCCCAGGCCCCAGGCTGAGCCCTGGAGCCGCCCCGGCTCCCAGACCTCAGACCCTCCCCCAGGCCCCTGGCCTGCCCTTTCCCATCCCCCCACCTCCAGCATCTCCCAGAACTGGCGCCCCTCACCCCACCAGGGTCAAGCACCAGGTGGAATACTTGGGCCTGAAGGAGAACATCCGGGTGCGCAGGGCGGGCTTCGCCTACCGCCGCCAGTTCTCCAAGTTCCTGCAGAGGTGAGGCACCCAGCCACCCCCCCCAGCCACCCCCCGCCCCCCATGGATGCCACCTGCCGCCCACACCCCCGCCCTCTGCCTCCAGGTACGCCATTCTGACCCCGGAGACATGGCCGCGGTGGCGCGGGGACGAGCGCCAGGGAGTCCAGCACCTGCTTCGGGCGGTCAACATGGATCCCGACCAGTACCAGATGGGGAGTACCAAGGTGTTCGTCAAGAACCCGGAGTCGGTGAGTGCCTGCGTGTGAGACAGAGGGAAAGAGAGACGGTCCCTGCAGCCTTGACCTCTTGGCCTCAAGCCATCCTCCCATCTCATAGGAGAGAAGAAGAGAGAAAGGTATCAAGAGAGAGACTGAAAGAAATATTGAAAGAAATATTGAGGGGAGAGATTGAGGGAGAGATTGAAGAAGAAAGAAACATGGAAAGAGATGGATAGTTTGAGCGAGAGATGGAGAGAGACAATAAAAGAGACATTGAGAGAGACTGACAGATTTGGGGGTTTTTTGGTCTTGTTTTTTTTGAGTCGGAGTCTCACTCTGGCACCCAGGTTGGAGTGCAGTGGCACGCTCAAGGCCACCACAGCCTCGACCTGTTGGCCTCAGGTGATCCTTCCGCCTCAGCCTTCCAAGTATGGCTGGAACCACAGGTGCACACCACCACACCTTGCTAATTCTTTTTTAAATTTAATATAATTTTTGTAGAGACAAGGTCTCACCCAGGCTGGCTTTTTTTTTTTTAATCTATCTTTTTTTAGATTCAGGAGGCACTTATGCATATTCATTACCCAGGCTGGTTTTGAACTTCTGGGCTCACGCGATCCCCCCTCTTCGGCCTCCCAAAGTGCTGGGATTACAGGCGTGAGTCACCGTGCCCGACCCGCCATCCCTTTCTCCTTTATGTTAAACCCAGAATTCAAATCCGAGAGAGACCACAAAGAGCCAGCTCCGATGCAAACACATGAGGGTCTTTATTCAGGCTTAAGTCTGGGCTCACGTATGAAGCCGGCAGTGGCTTCAGGGACGAGAGCCCCGATCCAGTATGGCAAGCAGTTTTTATGCACAATTACAGAGGGAGGGGAAAGAGCTTTTAACTTGATTTTACATGATTGGGTAATTTCTCCTAATAGGTATGGGAACACTTGGTATTGGTAGGTGCCTTTCGTGGGCTTTAACCTGACTGCCCGTGATTGACAGAAACCCACTTAACGGGCAGAGTGGAATGTCAGATAAGTTAGGTTCATACAGACACTGCGTATAAATTAACTTGAGCAAGCAGGCAGGAGGTTACTAGTGCCATTAAGTCTGCTGATCCAAACTGAGGAATGCTTAGGAGGGCTTGTTTGCTTAACATTTACATAACATAACATGGTCATTATGGGACAACAAAAGCCAAACTTAACAAAGTTTTAAATATGAATGCTGCAAACACATACAGTGAATGTGGGGTAGAAATTCATATAGTACTAGTTCTAGGAATTTATAAAATATCGCAAACATCTCATAGCAAGGCGGTTTTTCTAAAAGTATTTTGATTCCCTCAGGTTTACACAGCCACTGCGTGTAAATTAGCTTTGGCATGGGAGCTGGAGATTTAAACCAACATAGAGTCCACTTAGAGAGCAGCTAGCACCTCAGAGTCTACCGCAAAGGAATGTCTGAAAGGGGCTTATCGCTTTAACATTTACATCCCGTTGTAAAAGCAGAAGGCAGCATGGCAATTGGGACTAACAATGCTTAACCCAAGAGTTCTAAATACAAACACTACTTAAGACATTATATAACTACACAATCAGTCGCTACCCGCCACCCGACATATGCCTAATTCTATGGGGTCTGAGGTAGGATTTAAAGTACTAAGATTTCATAAAGTACAATGAACATGAGGTAGGAATACACAAAATATATAGTAAGCATGAGGTAACTAAGATTTCATAAAGAACAATGAACATGAGGTAGGGATATATAAAATATAGTGAACTAAACACTACTTTTACAGCAAGTATGGCTTTTTGAGTTTCTTAGTTTCTTGGGTCTCTCAATAGCATGCTTTTAACCTAAGTCCATGGTATATTTTATTACTGTCCTCTCACTTCCCTTCCTTCTTCATTTCCTTTTTGCCTTTCTTTCCTCTTCCCTCCCTCCTCTTCTCCGTTCTTCCTTCACTCCCTCATTCATGAACACATTGAGTTCCTAATGTCACACTGATAATGTTCTTATCCCAAGACTTGCCTCCAGCCCTGTACAAAGACAAACACCAGATCACAGCCCCAATGTGCAAACAACCCCTCCAGCAGAGGACAGCATCAACTCTTACCTTTTTACCAAAAGGCTGCAAGCAGTTGGGCACAGAGACTCTTCCCATAATCCCAGCACTTCGAGAGGCTGAGGTGGGAGAATTCCTTGAGGCCAGGAGTTGGAGACCAGACTAGGCAACAAAGTGAGACTTTGTCTTTACAAAAAGTCAAAAAAATTAGCCGAGCATGGTAATACCTTGTAGTCCCAGCTACTCAGGAGGCTGAGACATGAGGATCACTTAAGCCCAGCCTGGGCAACAAATAAAGACCCCCAGCTCCAAAAAAAAAAGTTATCTAAGATATATATTTTATCTTAGCACCCAACTAAGATATATGTTTTTATTTTTATTTTTTTGGGTTGGAGTCTCACTCTGTCACCCGGACGGGAGTGCAGTGGCACGCTCCCAGCCACTGCAGCCTCGACCTGCTGGGCTCCGGCGATCCTTCCACCTCAGC